ATAGGAACGAATTTAACTTTGAAAACACAGGTCTCCAACAAAGCAAGATTGGACAGCTTACTTCTTACAAAAGCTGTAATCTCCGCACTGGATTGCCTCCACCACATTCCAGATTAAGTTTCTTGCTGCTCCCACTCCTTGCGGTGCACCATGTAAGCGAATTTTGCTCTGGACCAAGCACCCGGAGAGACGTCTCCAGAGGCAAGAGCTCCCTGTTGCTCTCAGGCGGAATCGATTCCATAGGTGCGTTATCCGAGACACAAAGTCTTTCCACCAAGATATGGCACGATCCGAGATTTAGCCGCTGCAACCTGGCATGGAATTACTTCTGCAGCTTCTGCTGGCAAAGCAAAATCAAAATCAATCTCCGAAAAGCCGACAGACGTTGCTCTTAAATCCAGGCATGCCAGATTCGACTCCGAGATCCCCTGTCCAACTGAAAGTCTTATTCATCATGCGGTATGTGTCAATCGGCCGGAGAAAGGCGGGTGCTGTGCCCAACGGCATGGACGCCTGCAATGATCGTGGTGTTTACAATGCTGTGGGTGTCAGCTGATGCATGCACAGATGTTGTGCAAGTTCGTTGGCTGCCAGATGCTGCTAACATACATTTGTCTCAGTAGCCTGGGAGCATGTCTGATTGCCCAAGCGGTCTGCAAAAGCCTTGCTTATCCATATACACTTCGAAGACTTCACGGCAGCGACAGAGGCCTATGTGAACAGTGAGTGTGGGGCGATACAGTCGAAGACGAAGGCACTTTGTGGGGCTGGCACAAATCTGAATCCAAAGCTTTCACGAGTTCAGGCACTCGAACAATGGTCCGCAAAGCGGCACGCAACATTGGCAGCATGTCTGCTGAGCTGTGCACATAGCCACTGACGATCAAAGCATGCACTATGTGCTTCAAAGCAAAAGCCTTTTGTGAGGAAGCTTGTGCATCTTGAACCATCTGATCTACAGTGGACTGCAGCACACTGATGCCACTGCTTTGAAAGAACTCTCAAGTCTTGGAGTGGAGGTCGTTTGCTGAGGTGGAGTCAAGTCCGGGGCTGAAAGTGAGCGAGTGGGCTTGCTGCCAGGCTTTAGGGTGGCCGGCGTCAAGCTTCGATTTGTCGTTGAGATCATTGGTCATTCAGGATGATAGGTTGATCGACTTGAGTCGAATTCAACTTGGCAGTTGAAGCCGGGATGGTCAAGTCTCCAGATTCTCGACCATTCGAATGTTCGACAATTCACCATTCGAGTTGTCAGTCTGTCAGTCAATCGCCCGTGAGGATTCCGATGATGATGAGGATCTGCTGCTGCTTCTGGGCATGAATGATGAGTCTGATGAGTTTGATGGAAGGATAGATGCAGATGGATGGTTGGGATTGGCTGGATGGATGGATTCCATTCCATGGTCCATGGATAGATGGATGGATGGACGAATGAATGATTCATGATTGATCATTGATCATTGATCATGGTCGGAAGGATGATGATGAAGGAGTCCGATGACTGACGGCTGGCTGGCTGGCCGAGCTGGCTGGGCCGATCCTGGAATCCTGGCCGACCTGGACTGGATCGGACCGATTTTCCTGCAACGACTGAATGATGATGTGATGTGACATGACTCGGCTGCATCATATCATGATCACGGCCATGATTGACTTCAACCAGCATCATCGCACAATACTGACAGCTGGCCCGGCCCGTACCCCGCAAAATGTCAATGCGTGGCTGCTTGGCTGGCAATGTTGCCATTGCACACGGGATTTCAAAAAATGGCCTTAAAACACCATGCCGCACCCGAATTTTTTGGAGTTTTCGGACCGCCCGGCAAGGGAGCCCTCTGGCCGGCCTTGGCGGCCGATGGTTTGGCGACTAGACCACGTACGGGTGCCATCCCGATTTCGGATTGCACCCTGCCTTGGGTCTGAGCGTGACTTCGGCGGATTGCCGTTTCCCTGTCAAATTGATGCCGGCAAGCAAGCCTCGGAGGGTGGTCCGTGGGGTTTAGGATGGATCGAAAACAGCCACACGGAATCGCCCAGCATCACGCCGCGGGCGCTGTGTGTCCCTAACTCGTAGGCTTTTCCCCTCCCGCGGCCCTGCTCTTAACCTGTCGTCCCGCGCCCGCCGCCCTCAGAGGTCGCATTCCGAGCGCAGTTCGCATAAAGCATTCACACTGCAGCGAATTTATGTCGCTCGGAGCAGGTGAAGTGCATCGCGGAGTTCGGGGGGGGGGGCCAGTCGGCGGAGTCTAGGACCTCTAGGAAAGGCCTCACACAGAGATCACCAAATCAAGGCTCAAGGCGGTTGCCTGTTGTGCGGGCCATTTGGGAAGGACGTGGGAATCCTTTGTTCTGGTGTTTCGCATGCGGGAAGTCATTGCTGCCGGTGTTTTGCTGGAAAACAAACAGCTGCAAGGTGTTTCACTGTCAGTTGTGGCACACACTTAATATCCAGCAACTGGATGCGGCACACACATAGCAGCTTAGGAGGCGGCACACAAAAAGCAGCTTAGGAGCAAACCCAAGGCCGAAGGCGAGAAGGAGCACGTGGAGTTGGGAGACGGACTGATGGGCATCCTTTTGGCAACGAACAAGTGTAGTATCTGTTCTGCGAACACTTTGGGCCGCACAAGTGTATCTGTTCCGCAACGGTTTTTTGAAAAGGCCCATTACTCGGTTTTCCACATGACCTTCCTAGTTTCTCGACTCCTTCCCTTAGGGCACCTTAACCCCTTCGGCCCCGCTGTAGGTTGTTCCCCATCTGCCCTGCAAGTGAGTGCGAGCCGAGTGCGATTCCCTTTTCGAACCCTGCTGCCCTGCTGCCCTAACCCCGCAGGCTCTTCCCTTCGGCCCTGCATTGCAGGTTCAAGCTTGCAGGGACGGGGGGCGGTTGAGTGGGTGGGCGGGCTTGCGTCGGGATCTCAGTTTGCTTGGGTTGTGTTGGTGTTCGGGTTTCCGTTCCCTAACCCTTTTGGTTACCCTAGACTGCATCTCACTGCCCTGCCTCGCTTCCTTTTCCTGTAGCCCCGCGCTGCCCCAGGTCATCCATCATCTTCGACGGTTCCAGCCTTGGTGCCTCCGAGGGTTTTGGGTTTTTGTCGGACTTTGTGGGTTCGGAGTTCTGTGAGTGCGCGCAGGAGTGTCTGCTCCCCCCCCGCCCCTCCTGTTCTCTAGAGTGCCCAGCGTCCTCACCCGTCCCCGGCCCCTCTCCTGCGCCCAGGTTTGTCGTACCTTCTTCCGGGCGCTGATGCTCATTTTTGGCGAGAGCTGCAGTTCTGCCGGGCACGTTGTGTCTTCATAGGCTCAAGAGCGAAAGCGACTAGGCAGCTGGCGAGGACATCGCTTGGACAGTTGTCAGTCCTTGAACACGTCTGACGGCGAAGGTAAGGGGGGCACTTTTCCAGATCGGTTTCGATCTCGTAGTTCCAACATGCTGCCCAGGTCGGACTTGTCGCACAGTCGTGCAGTGCTGATCCTCAGAGTGCTTACTTGGGGTTTTGCGTTTTGTTTGCTTTAGTGCGCGCGCTCTGAGTGTCTGGTCCTGCTTCCGTCGCCCTCTCCTCCCGCATCTTGTTTGTAATTGGACCGCCTTGCGATCTCCTTTGGTTCCCTTCTTTCAGAGCCGCGTTTAGCTTGTGCAGGGCCGTTGCTGGCAGTTCCTGGTCGCCACCAAAATTGTGCTTCCAAGGAAAGGCGCTTCAGCTGAAAACTTGTCGGCATGGATTCAGGGTACGTTCATGCGACCACTTGCTTCTGCAATCGCCGTGTACGATGCGGCAGCTCTTTATGATGGCAGCATTTCTCAAGAGTTGCCGCTCCGAACCGGAAACCAACGCCCAGGTCATTATAATCCGCGATCGGCGACTTCTTCAAGGCCTGCTCCTTTTTAGCACCGAGTCGTAAGAGGTGTGGTAGGATGCGAAATAGCGTCGTCCTGCTATCGAGCGAGCTGGGGTTCGTTGTGCAGCGATTTCAAGCTCGAAATTCGTGACCTCGTAGCTGTTGAATGGCTTCGGGGATTCGTTTAGAATTTTGGGCCGTGTTGCACAGGACTCATGTTTCTCCGGCTTGTCTGCACAGTCCTGAGGACGACTTGGATATCACTTTCACATCGAGTGCGGGCCTTGACAGTTTTGTAGCAGTGTGCCGGAACGCTTTATGGAAACCATAGGCCGCCATTCGAGTGACCTTTCTTCCTTTCAGTGACCGGGGGTCCCTTGCTGGGTCATGGGAGCTTTTCGGGGTTCCGGAGTTCAAGGGCTTTCAAAAAGATTAAAGGCCTTTCCTTGCAGCAGTGGCCAGGCAGCCAGGCATTGTCATTGTGCAGACCATTCCAGCTTGTGCATGATGGGAGTGATGGGAGTCCAACAACAACCGTTTCAATTGTCACACCTGCACTCCTAACACAACTACCGATAACTTCTGAGAACTCTGGGGCTCTTGGTCGGAGCAGGTGCGCTTGGCTCTCCTCTTTGCCCGGATATAATCAATGATGGCTGCTTTACATCAAGCGCACATGACAGCAGTGCGCTTTTCCTCGCTGCTTTCCGGGATGCTCATGCTTCTGTGCAGCTGGTTGCCGCTCTGGAGAAGACCAACTGAGAGACGGTACATCTAGAAGGTCGAACGATCCCTGCTGGCTAAGTCTGCAAGTCGCGACCTGTTTCACCCATTAGGATCTTTCTGTACAGTTCTTCATTATCTTCTTGTTTTGATTCACTTCTTACTGGGACCGAGTGCTACAGCCGTAGTCGACGAGGCCCGCCCACGCCAAAAAAAAAAACAGAGAAACTGCGCTTGCCGGAACAGCCGACGGACCCACAGGTCGCCTCGGCCGAGCCACCGCAGCCCGCAGGGCAGCAACCACCCCCTCAGCCACAGCCAGCTCAGACCTCGAACCCCGGTGGGCCCTGCAGGTCGACGTTTTGCCAACAGGGTCTGGACCCTCAGCCAACGCAAAGCCCGTCCCGTTCCTTGCCTTTGCCTGCGACACGTGCAGGACGCCAATGTCTGCGCTGATCTCTCCCAGGAGGACTCACAGCAGCTTCCTGACTCTCCAGGCCATCTGGTCCCGCACTGCTCTCGGCATTCTGGCGGACCTCGGAGCCTTGGCACCTCATGTTGACGAAGCCTGCGTGTTCTTGCAAGCCATCCGGACCTCCGGAGCATCAGCCCTGCTCTTCCTTTCAGCTGACCATTTCCTGTTTCACTCATCGCTCTCCGAGGGTGGCCACTGCCACCCTCACCTCGGCTTAATCACCATGTCGAGCTCACGCCAAACCGAGCTCCCATCTGCGACGGTGCAGGCAACGCCAGCTTCAGCCGACTGGAGCCACCCAAGCCAAGCCCTGCAGCCATGGAAAAACAGCGTCCCGAGGGACCTACCCAAGCGGGTCTTTGCCCATCTCTCTCAGAGCAAGCCGGAGCACCCGATCGCCGAAGTGGACCAGCTAGAGCTGAATGCGGATAGCCTGTGAAGTCATGGATTGGGACTACAACTCCATAATTCAAACAGCCGAGGCCAGTGTTCGCCTTAATCCAATGCAGGCCTTTGCGGATGTCCTCCAGGACCCCGATAGAGACCTGGCCTTACTTCGGGTAGGAGTTCACACGGGATTTTTCGGTGAAATCTAGCCTTCGACGATGCCAGGAGGGCTGGAGGAAGCCAAACGCCTTTCTAAACGCATAGCCGTCGGGAAGCTCAGCCATCTGCACGGGCAAGGCAAGGCACAACCAATGTCAATAGCAATGTTTGTAAAACATTTTGATGTGTAAATGCTTTCAAAGAACATTTAAAGTTTTCATGTTTTAAAATTTTATTGATTTACGTTCGCTGTTTCAATGTTTTTGAATGTTTCTATTCTGAATGATGTTTTAATGTTTCAATGTGATGTTCTTTTGTTGCTTGCATGCATTGGTAAGTTGATATTTGTGCTTTGAACTCTTTGTTGTGCAAGGACAAAAAAACCCGATCTTTGTGTCTTGAACTTTTTTTGTGCTAATTGCAAGAACAATCCAGACAAGTAAGACTTGCTCGACAGACCGACGTAGAGAAAAAACTTTCACTGGATGCAGTCAACGATCGGTTTTGCAGAACATGTCATGTTTCCGACTACAATGTTGTTACAAGCTTGTTTCTGCTGCCCTGAAGGTGGGAAACCGAATAAAGATGGTGTGTTCTGCACATCACTAGCTGGAATGTGGGCTCAAAACCGCATGGTCGCTGCGAGTAGACATGGCCCGGACGTTTAGTTTAGGCCATGGTGCGATCAATGCATTCAATGCCGTGATATTGTTAACAATAACATGGAGCAAAGTTCACTGATGCGCGCGGGCCAAATCAGGGTTGCTGATCTTTTGAATCGCAACATGCTTATGTTATTTGGAATGTGTGGTAAGATCGATAGATAGATTTGATGTCGGTGATGCGCGGAATTCTTCCACCGATTCCTATTGGAATGGAGGAACGGGGTTGTGACAATCGGTTGTGATGGATCCATTAGTGGGATTCACATCTGTTCGCTCTTTCCTTGCAATGCTATTGACAGTGGGAACAATGCGTTGAGTATTGCAAAATTGGCAGGACAGGTCTGTCCGACAAGCTTGTTTGGTCGCGCGAGTGTCCGCGCGAAGCTCGGCGCTTGCCGGCCTGGACGACCTGGATCGACAGAACCGTGAGGCAAGGGAGCAAACTGTAGCCATCGAGATTCTCGGCAGGGTGCAGGTGTTTCACGCACTTGCGTCGATTAGGCTGCTGTGTTGGTTGATCACACTGGAACGACCAGCCTGACAATAATTGTTGCACTTACTGTTCCATGGTTGAAGAAGATCAGCAAGCAAGAGTTGAGAATGAACAGTTTCGAATCGATCTGCAGTCGATCCACACTGGTTTGGCGTCCCTGGGTGAAACGATGAGTGCAGCTTGTTGCAACATCCATCATTGTGTGCTCTGTGTTTCCGCATGTTTGAAAATGCCTTGAAAACTCACGGAGACTGACGGAACACGCACAACTAAGTGTTTGTGCGGAAGGTTATTGAAGCTTGTTCCGCCAATATGCGATTGTTGTTTCTTTAGTTGCATCGGCTCATGAGCAAGAAGTTCTCCTTTGACATGTGGGTGTGTCAGCATGATAGCATCCGTGTTTTTGGAATGCAGGTCACGCCCATGTCGGCGAAGTTATCGAATGAAAGCATGAACAACAACGTAATGGTCTTGCGGATCGCCATTAGCATGCCGTTTCGATGTAGATGCACAGTTCTGTGGTTTCATACACATTCAGAATAACCGCAGCCAAGAGTATTTCACATGAAATCGCTGCTTGATTTGACTTTGTGTTTGCTTTGTTTTGGGAATTGTTCGATCGAGTTTCAAGTTCGTAAACATGCGAGCACCCGTTGTTGAGAACATCCAAGCTTCGATTGAATGGGAGACCCACCGTGAAAACAAGTGTTGGAACCAGTCGGATTGCAATCCAGCAAATCGCGGAATCTAATTGCTGACTTTTGGGGCATAATGGCCGTTTTTGCAGGGCAGGCGGGCCGACAAAGGCTTCCTGAGAGCTTTTTGCATTCTGCACGACTAGCCATTCCAAAGCTTCTGGTCAGGTGAATCTTGCAGCCGTATCTGCCAATGGCATTGCGCTTCAATGGGCACCGGTATCTGGCCGAGCTAGTAATCCGTGAGCTATTGCCAGCAATAGATCGCCTTGGCTGAAGAAGGAGCGGTTCAAGAAGGACAAAGGGGTGGCACTGGCGGCTGTTTCCAGCGCGGGGCATGCCCTCAAGTATGTCGACAAGGACGGATGACATGATGTGAGTGTCTTTGTTGCATCTTCTTTTCCAGTCAGCTGCTAGAGCAAGCCGGCCTTCAGCATTTTCTTTTGATCGTGACGTAAGTCGGCGAAATTGACCAGGAGCTGCAGAGTGATCCAGATGTTGTTTATGCAGCCATTCGGCAAAATGCATTGGCACTACATTTTGCATCGCCTCGTTTGCAACGCGACAAGGACTTGAAATGCAGCAGCGGAGTGGCATGATGCGCTTGCTGCATTCCTTCATTGTTCTCGAAGGACATCGTTCTCGAAGCCTGCCAGCGCGACAGAGCGGCGTTCAGCTTCGCTGCGGAACCTTGGTAGAGCACCAATGTGATTCAGCGACTGACGCAGGGAGGACAGGTGTATCACTGAATACGAGGACGTTCTGCGCGAGGACAAACAGTTTCGAAGCACCACTGGAGTTGAATTCCCCAGTGTCGACAAGCTGAATGATGCTTGGCTCAATGTCATTATTCATGACGGCACATGGTGAAGATAGATGTCCAGGTGTCAACCAGTTCAATGACTTCCTGTTCGTCCAGGACTGTCCTGGGAAGTTCTATGTAGGACAACCCTGGCAGCAGTTAAAAAGGCCTTTGATATGGCGCGGCTGATGAGCACGCAATGTGGCAAGTGTGGCATCTGCATGTTGCAGGAGCTGGTTCAGTGCCTCTACTTGTGATGGACGGTGGCCTTCGTTCATGCACTGGAGCTACCGCCCTTATCTGGCTTTCCGTCGAAAGAAGTGTGGACTTCGTGACAGTTCGTGTTGTGAGCAGTTCATTTTTCCACCCCCTGCGTGATGTGCAATGTGCAACTGGGGAAGTTGCGGTGTTTTGAATCCCAGGCCGCTTCAACAGCAAAGGCGGTCAGTTCAGCAGAAGCTTCCAGTCGCCGGAAGACGCTTTCCAAGCGTAGCAAGGAGTCGCCGCATGAGCATCATGGGCAGTTTGAACAGTGCAAGCCTGATTTGATTCTTCGAATGCCGTCCAGGACAAACTCAGAAGAGCAGCCGTTCGTGCCTGATACGATGTCAGATGTGAAAGAAATGGAACAGCAAGGGCTGAGTGGTCTGTTTGTGACTGCTTGCAGCTTGCACAACTCCACACATTGTGTCGTCTCACATGCAGCAATGCAGGACAAAGAATGCCTCGAGATTTTGAGAGCTTGCTGCTCTTTAATTTTTTGCCTGTGGCTCACGCCAGGGGCGGTCAAGGCTGAGTGGTCAAACCATTCAGAGCAGACTCAACCCGTTTTGAAAGAAAGTTGGCCTTAGGTTCCTTCAGAGCATGGCCTGGCAGCCTAGCAGCCTGGGTTCCTGAAAGCTTTTCAGCATCTCAAGGGATGGAGTGCGAGTCCTGCTGCAAGATGCAGAGTGATTGGCAACATGGCTCGCGACGGACTTGGGATATAGCTATCGAGAAGTCTGCAAATGCCGCTCTCTCTCAGCTGCAGGTGCAACCGGTGCATGGCTTCTCTGTCTGTGTGCTCTTCGTGTCCAGGCAGTTTAATGTCGGAAAGTGTTGCCAAGTAGTGGTGGGTGAGTGCCTGGCATTTCTTGCAGGCCCAAGATGACGACTTCGAGTGGTTTAGGTGCGATGCTTGCTCGGCAACTTTCCTTGCGCTAGACACTTACATCTTTGGCTGCTGGGGGCCACCGTCTCGCTGCCAAGGCATCTTTCTTCAAGATAAACAGGACGTACTCTTGCAGCTATGGCGCGATGTCACATCGGGACTCTCGCAGGACGCTTGTTCAACGCTTCGTGGGAAGAACATCTGTGCCTGCCTATGAGTTTCTGGAGGCTTGGCTGTCCTAGAGAGTAAAGTTTGATTTCATTAGTGCTAGGATTTGCATCCTTTCACAGCAGTGATATATCACGAGCTAAGGAAATAGTCGATGAGGCGCGCGGCAGACTGGTTGAGAGATGGCTTGACCATGGGCTTGTGCGAGGTATGCGACACTATGTTCACAAAAAACGAGCGCCCTTGCTGCAATCCGAAGACTGTCACCATGTATGTGTCTATCGTTGGGCTTCAAGAAGTGAGGTTCGGCGTGAAGCAGCATGAGGTGGCATTGTTCCTTTTGCTTGTTGCTGTTCTGCTGTTGCACGACACCGCTTAACGGCTTAACGGAAACGGCCGTGGAAGGGCAAGAAGTACCTCTTCGGACCTGGCATCAAAGATCACATTCCCGGACTTGGATTCGGCCAGATGGGCATGGGGGTGTCGCTTCCACCGTTTTCAGCCTTTGCTGTTCCCTGTTCCTTATGAAGTCTGAAGCCTCATGCTTTGAGCCTCGGTCGCTCCAGATGAAGGGACCGAAGTGACTGGCCAGGACTATGACAAAAGGCTGGCAGCATTCTGCAAGATGTTCGTCGAAGAGTTGGGAGAGGACCTTTTGCCGCTGTTTGGTTTGGTACGCCAGAAGGGATTCCGGGATTGGGTGCTCTTATGGTGAACTCCTCATGCTGTGCTTAGCACGTCGGCAAGCAAGCCACATCCTTTATATTCGAGCATCCTTACCCGCCTTACCCCACTTAACAGGACATTGAGAATGTTGCTTGATTTTGTCGGAATGTTCATTTGAGGTGTGTGTGTGCTGACTTTCAGGAGAAGTTGCAGCAGCTCTATCAAGATAACCGGTCGGGTCCCGGGTGTTGTGGTACTGGTGCTTCTTGTTGTCCAGTCGTTGTTCGTTTGCGAATGAAGGCAGCTGAATCACACGCAGCTGTGCTTGGAAGAGTGTTTGTCATCGGCCAGTGGCACTGGCGTGGGCACCTGAGCGTGGATGTCGTAGTCACTGAGGGGTATTTGCTGGTGTCAGTTAAAGTATATTACTAAGGCGTTGTTATTTGTGGCATGTATCTTGAGAGAGTTCCGAACTCTGAAAAACAAATCTTTGGGGCAAGGGACCTCGAAGGTCGAGGGGCTAGATGAAGCCTTGGTCCTGCAGTTTTTCCAGCCGCGAGGCGCAGTCAAGAAGCCCTCGCAAGTCTCGGCCTGCCGCGAGGCACCAGAGCGCATCCCATTCGCATGAGTCTCTTGTGCCTCCTCTGGAGACTAGGCCCACTCAGAAGCCTCTGCCAGCTCCGAAGCTCGATTCTCCGAAGGCTCGAAGTGCTTCTGAACATAGCGAACGCCGGGAACAGCAGATGCTTCTCTTGCGAGGAGAAGAATGTTTCTTCAAAGAAATGGGAAGGCCAAAGACCTGTCGTCGAGACTTGTCACTTCTCTGCATGGAACAGGCCGAGCAACCCCTGAAGCCGGGATGAAGTTGGAGCTTGGCCAGGCATCTTCAGGGCATCTACTGACATTCTGCAGGGTTCTTTGGGTGACAGTCCGTTACTTTGAGTGCCTTGCTTTGTAGTTGTCTACGCCGGCTACGTGTGCAAGACGAGGTTCTGTAAATTTAGTTGGGGCTGTCCGTCGTTTTGTGGTCGACCGGGCCATCGTGCTTTTGCAATCAGGTGTTGCATCTTTTGCCGCAAATGAAAACCGCCGACTTGCAGCGCCTTGGTACTGTCAGAGCCTCAGTTTTCCACCTCTTCTGATACACCGCTTGTCGGGCATGCATGGCTGCGTTTCTCATGTTCTGCCTTGAGGCAGTGCTTGACGAGCTCACAAAGCGGGCCAAGAGCACTCAGAAAGCCGAGCGGGCTGAGTTGTGACGCGCGTGCAATCACGAGTCTGAAGAACGTGGACGGGAGTTCTGCAACCTCATGAAGAATAGAATCTGGAGGAAGCGCTGCCGACATGCACACAGCTTCAGAAGGATTACAACTGGCGCTCGTCATCGTCGTGACCGCCATCAACGCACAGGTGCTAACAGTGAGTGGCACGACGAGGTGAGAGGTGTGTTTGCGCGAAAATTTCCTGCACGCATCGGAAAAGTCAAGGCTCACCAAGTGCACTTAGGGGTGTGCCCATGACGTTCTGATGTCTTCGACGGAGCTCTCGAGCGCGAAGATTAGCTTCGAGCGAAAGGTACTTGAAAAACAACAGCCGGGAAGCGGTTCTTGCTGCAAAAGCTTACTAACAAGCGCAAGCATGCATCATGGATCAACCGTTCTATTCCGAGGCTGTGCATATCTGTGCATGAATGCAGTCCGCGAACATTCGGCTCCAGATGAGATTTCGGTTCCGGGAAGGGGCCGAATCTCGTCCAGATGGTATACGCGCGTGAGGAGTGGCCCATAGCTAACACGGGTCCAGAAAGACCAGCCTGTCTCATAGCATTGCGTGAGGATGTTGAGAACGTCCTGGCTGCGCGTGGATGGAGGGAAGTGAGGCAGATAGGCCGCGGGTTTGTTCCACGAAGCAAAGAGAGCGGAGAAGAGAGTCTGAGAGGCGAAATCCGAATAAAAATACGGCAGGTGAAGGCTCCTTTGCCAAGGCTCTTTTGGTTGAGGCATCGGATGGGACACAGGCGGTATGCAAGGCGCGATGTTTCTTAGTGTAAGAGAGTGGTTTCGAAATCGCAGAGCATGAGGTGATGGACATCACTCAGGCATCCAAGAAGGAGGCGCTTTAAAGCTCACACGTATGGCATAGTTTTTGTCATGTGCCAAACAGTTGCGGCGCCCCCGCCGGCTGAGGCCGAAGCTGCTGCCAAGGCCAGGCTTTCAGACGGCTTCTTCACACAGTTAAATGCATGGGCTCTCAGAAATGCGCTCTGAGCTCTTTCAGGAGGGTCGACTCCTCGGATCCTTACGCCATCCTTTCGTTGTCCGTTACCGCGACAGCTTTTGTGAGGCGCATTGGTTGTGTTGGGGCTTCGACTTCTGGACGTTAGGGTGGCTCCAGCCGCTAGCGTTTCTGAAAAGGCTGGCGTGCTGTGCATCATCATGGACTTCTGCGAAGGCGCAATGCAACTGGCGTCAGCTGGCAGTCCACCAGATGATGAAGTCCAAGAGGTGGAGAGCTTGCCCGACAGATCCGGAGGGCGAGACGCAATCATCAGAGGTCGTATTGGCTGGGTTTCGGGGTTTGCTAAAGACCGGGTGTTCTTGGGGCCTCGGTTCGATGTGGTACATGCATGCGGCGTTGCATCGTCGAGCCTCCAGGCTCACCAGGTTTGCTCCCTACCGTTTGGGGTTGATAGCTGACTATAAGGTTTCTGAGGAAGGGATTCCAGTTCGCCTTCCACCACAATTGTCAAGGCCGAGAGTCAGGGATATGTTGCCTATGATCCGGTTTAGGGCAGCACCACATAGTCCGTGCTGGGCCTATCCCACAAGGCCTCTTTGCATCACCGTGGGCTTCTGGGTTCATCGCTCACCGGGCATTTAAGCGCTCGTGCCATCAGTCGTTGCGGTGTCGAGGGTTTCATTCCCTGGGAGCGATGACAGTTCATGGTTCGAATTTCTTTTCGATTTTTTCCCATCAGTCGGTCACCATCAGTGTCGACTGTTCATTGTTGCTTTTAAGCTTGTTGTTGTCAGTCCACATCGCTCGCTTTAGAAGGTTTGGGTTTGAGACTTGTGCTTATCTTCGTTCAGTTTAGGATTTGCGGTTCTGCCGGCGCCAGCGGCCGTTCTTGGATTTTCAGTGTCTGCCCAGCCATCCGGTGATAAGCTGCACCGCCTTTTTTTATCTTGGACTTTGAGAGTTTGGGCACATCGTCTGCGAGAGTGTGGATCGCTAAGCATTGTATACATGTTAGGTTTTTGCAAACATCAGGCGCTGCAGTGTCAACGATTTGCTTTGCACGATTTGCTTCAGGGTTGCAGGTTTGCCGGTTCCGCGAGTCGGTTTTCGGTGTATTGTCCCTGGTTGCTCTTGCGATGCACTTGCAGGTTTGGGGTCGGCACGGGCATCATGCCTTTATTGACTTAGTTTTCGCTTTTCCTGTGATGTGAGCGCTTGCGCTTTGGCACTCTTGAGCTTAATTTAATGTTCACAGTCCAACACACGTTTTAGGGGTAGGCTTTCGGCTGGCACAGCAGTAGTTCAGGGGTGTAGGGAAGTTCGGGGTCTGAGAAGCCGAGTTCGTACTGTCAGGCCACTCGCTAGCCGTCGCTGCTTGCAAGGTTTGTTGTGCACACACCATGATAGGGCTGAATGTTTGCTGTCTGTTGGTCGTTTCAAGGCTTGACTCTTATCGGCCTGTGAGGGCAGTGTGATTTGAAAACCTTTGGTTTAGGGATTCCAGGTATGCTGCGCAATGCTTTTGGCTTGTGTTTCTGAAGTTCTTTGCGGTCTGTTTCCCAGGTTTCAGGGTTGCCGGTTCCACGAGGCGTTTCGGGGTGTAATGTAAGCGAAAGCATTTGCGTTTCGGTGAGGTGGTTCGATATCTAAAGATGTTTCTGCGGGTTCAAACGTAGGTTTGGGATCGGCAAAGGCATCCTCGCTTCGTTGAGCATGCTTCGTTTTGTACGTGGACATTTACACATTGCCGTTAAGGGTTTCGCCGAAAGTTCAGGGTCTAAGGTTCACAGTCCAACATGGGTTTGTTGGGGTAAGCTTGCTTGGTTTAAGAGTGGGTTGGTGTGGTCGGGTTGCTGTGCTCTACAGCTGCTTGCAAGGTTTACGGCTACGGTGCACTAGCCATTTTAGGGCTTAAGGCTTGCTGCATGTCAGTTCTGGGGTTTGTTTGTACTTTGTTGTTGCATTGTGGGGCGTGGCGGAGTTTTGACTGTGAATAGCTTTCGTCATGTAAGAGCTCAACTGCTGGCATCGGTCATTGGTGGGTTATGCAATCCCCGCATCTGTTTGGGATTTTGTTGGTTTTGCGCTCATCTCTTTTAAGAGTTTAGGTTCTGCCAGTTCCAAAAGCAGCTGTATAGTTTGCCGTTTCAGAGTTACGGTGTTTGGTGTCTCTGGAGGCATGTTCTTTTCGGTGTTACTAGCACGGGCTTGGTATGGTTCGCTTTCGAAATGTCAGTTTTTCAGTTTACAACCTGGGATTCACGAGCATTTTAGGGTGTAGGGTTCACGGTCCAACATGTATTTCACGGGTAGGCTTCCTGCTGGCAGCATTTTTTTAAGGTTCCGCAAGGCGGTCTCCGTTGCCTCAGCTTGTGGGGTTGCCCCCCCCCCCCCCCCCCCCCCCCCCCCCCCCCCTCCGACAAAGGGGGGGTCCCACCACCCCCTGATCCCAACTTCAACGGGGGAGGACATATCACCACCCACGCCTCAAACAAAGGAAGGTATCATTTTATCATTATCATTACGCTGGTTATTGCTAATATTGTTGTTATTACTATTGTGGGGCGGGGGTGGGAGCGGGCGGTATGCATTTTGGGGGTGGTTGTGATGGTGGTGGTGGTGATGGGGAGGTATTTACTACCATAAGTTTATTGGATATACCACGGGTTAATGATAATCCTAACAACGGCAGCACCAATTTTAAATTTTACAAAATACTAACTATTTATTGTGGGGCAGAGGAGGAAGGGGGTGGTGGTGGGGCGGCATTTGGTGTGGTGGCTGTGCGGGTGTTTTTTAAATTTGTTTATTAGTATCAGCATTTTTCTAAAAATAGCACTGATAACAATAATCCCAATCAGCATGATAAAGCAAAAACATTATTGTTTGGGGTGGCATCTGACGGGAGCAGTGATTGTGGTGCGGGGGCATGACGTGGTCAGATCTGCTCTCACACCAACTGAGAATTCTCCATCCCCGACACTTTAGGGTTTAAGGATCACAGTCCAAGATGCATTTGGGGGGTATGCTAGCTGCCGTCAGTAATCGCTGAGGGTCCATGCGGCCAATTTGCGCGGTCTACCGCCACGGAACACCGATCATTTTGTAGGGCTTTAGGATTGCTGCCCGTTGTGCAGTTTTAGGGTTTGGGGCTTTGCTGCGCAATGATCGTTCATAGAGTGCAGGCTTGTTGCTGTCATCTGTCATTAGTGGGTTCAGGGTCTGCTCGACTGTGTCGCAAGCGTTTGTGTTGTTGTTTGCGATCCGCTGCTGCGACTTGTACTTCGAAGGTTAAAGTTCAATGTTCTGTGGTCTACTGCCGATCCGTTGTGTTAGGGTTGACAGCTGGCCGGTTCGAGAACACGTTTCCGGGCACAGCCTGCAAAAATGCACTCATGGTTCGCTATCCACCCAGTTGCTGTAGGCTTTCAAGGTCTGCTGCGCAGGATTCACCTTAGGGTTTCAAGTTTCTTGTTTCCATGATGTGTAGCGCACGCGTGCGAGTAGGAACAAGCGCTAGCGATCGACCGCAGTACGCCGGCTCGATCGCTTTTTCTGTTCTCCCCTCGTCCCTTCGCCTCCCAGTGCTCTGGTCATGTCGTCGACTGGAGCCGCCGATCTCGCCGCTGCTGCCGCCGCCTCCGCCTCTCGGGCGGACCCCATGGTGGATGACGCCGAGGTGCTCGACTGGGTGCCTCCTTCGGCCAAGGCAGCTTCGGCAGTGGGAGCTGGGGCGTCCAACCCAGGTTCGGGCGACGAGGAGGAAGAGATCGTCGCCGGCTTTGCTTCGCCCACACCGGGCATTCACGCCGCCACAGGCGGCCTCGACATGGGCGTCCAGACCGAGGCGCACGTGTTCATTTCGAATTTTGCGGCTGGAGCGACCGATGCTGAGCTCGCCGCCGCAGTTGGGGCTTTGTCTTCGTGCGACCTCGCCCGCCTCATGGCCGCTTGCACGGCCGCCCAGCCGTCTGCTGGGCCAGCCACGCCGGCCATCACATCGCCATCGTCTTCGTCCGGG